TTAGCTTTGTTCATTATCTGACGACTTCGTTCGCATGAGAGCTAAAAACCGCTAATTGCCTAACCTGCTAGTCTGCATCCACCCTCCAGATGCCCATTAGCCTTACGCCCCCACCCATAATCCATCCATACTGAGCCGTTTGACCCTTTTCACTACCTCGATCAACAACTTCGGTGGCACTAGTCTGTCTCCACTTCTCCACCTTCCATAGCATACCATACTACTCATAAATTTGCTTAGAAATCTTCCGGTAGATGTTCTGTTTGTCACTGTTGATCTCAGTCACTTCCCTATAGCTACCTGATCTACCTACTTGATGCTCAGTGTACATTTCAGGTTCCCAATTTCACTTCTGGTCTCCATCTGCACAGTCATTCCGTCCACTTTTGTACATAGCATTTATCCTATTCACTGGAAAGTGCACCATCACTTGCTCCAATCCACTGAGTAGTCTCTAATACTAATTTAGTTTTACCCATATTTGGGACCCTTCTATTTTTTTCAGATGTCAGCTCGTTTCATATTCGCCCCGTGTGCTCGCATGATTGGCGCCCGCGCAGCGCAGCGTGAAAACGGCAAACTAAACAGACTTGCAAACGAACCCGCCAAATCCACTAGACAAGTCGGTTGTGGCCAGCTCCGTGCCCAACTGAATATGAGGATTCTGTGTAATAAGGTACAGGTAAGAGGCATTCACTCTATCCAGTTCGGTCACGACTAAAGTGCCATTTAGATAATGTTTGAATACGCCTGGTATTCGCTCGGATCCGTCTGTCATTTAGCTATGATTCCTATCCCGGAACAAAACTAACTAAAAATCCCAACTTCTGAAATTCGGTTATCCGGTGCATTTCAGTATGTACCTGACTCAAACCGGCTTCCTCTACCTGCACGCAAAGGAAGCACGAAAAGTTCATTTTTAATCTGGTCTTCTTACTTTATTTATAAAGAAAAAACTAGTCTGTGGTGTTTGATCAGATGCTCGTGGATAGCTCTGCGATAAGACAACTTGGTAGGTGGAACATGTAGCAAAGATTTATGTCAGCTCCTTGTCACCCAAGATGAAGACAGCTCGAAACGATTCTATCTCAAAACACTTGGCAGTTACAGATGGCTGTTTCGTTTGTGTAGTATACACTACACGGAACTCTGTTGCTTAACGTTAACTCATGCCTTCATTGTGTCTGAGTTTGAGGATTCCATCACCAAAATGCAGCTGTGTAATCAAGACGATTTGGCTGGTTTGTCATCATTTGGACTACGGAATCGGTTATGTGGCCCTTCATTTGCCTATTTCATACTATTTACCAGTTGAATAAAAGTCAATTATTAACCTTGAGCCTTACATTTGTCATCCGCATCACATTCTCATGCCTGCTAAAATGACGTACATTTGGTAAACCCTGGTACTGGTACTAAGCCAGTACGAATCTTGTAACAACAGGATTTCAACAACCGACCAAGAGCTCACGGAAGACTCAAAAGGATTCGAATTTCTGCCAGACTGACTGGCTGCTCGCGGTAGGCCGTTACCAAAAACTGCAAGCAAACCGTCGTGTCGATATGTGGCGGATTCTTTGGCAGAACACCAAGATCCAATGGCCACGCGTAGCCTCAGCCTTTTCCAGAATCGGAAAGCAACGCATGTAGTCTTTCTCAGGTATCAAAAATCTATTTCCATTCTCATTGCCTGGGAAGAAGGGGACAAAGTTAGCAAGCAGAGAAGCCATCGATGAGACGATTCAAGTATTCTAAAGCAGCAGTTTTCATTGGTACTTATTGCTCAAACAAAGAGCAAAGTCATATCCAATGGTTACCTATGAACATCGTGACGAGGTGGCCTAGTGGTTGGGGCACGAATTTACCGGCCGGAAGATTCATGTTTCGAAAGAGACTGCTGGGCAACCTGGCAGTAGTCCAGCCCTTGTGCTTCCTTCTGTTAGTTAGGCACCAAAAGGCTGCTACAGCTGAACTATGACTACCTGGAAGAGGTCACTTGGCCACAGAGTATGAAAATACGTTCAATGCACAGTATTAGGCTAGCCGCTTACTGAGGATTCTGTAACGGAGCATGCATCTAGGCATCGCTTAGGATTCGACACACCATCTTTCGTTTAGTCTCAGCTACCAGCTCAACTTTTCTTCAGAATTCACTGAAAGGAAAATCAGCTTATAAAGTGAAGGTGATTCTCATGATGCGACATATTCGTTGCAATTTACACAGAGAAATAATCCAATACAGGACATTCGACGAAAAAAGAAACATTACAGAGACAACATTATTTGGCATTTGGCATGACTTTATTGGCCAGTAGCCACGTGGAACCACCGTGTGGCCAGCACTCACTTATGCCATTGGTGAGACTCTCTTTGATTCGATCTGGCCTCATTGGTAGGTTAGCAAAATACCAGTTTTGAACCAATCACACTGAAGTTGCAAGTCAGGACCAGGTTGTGTACACAAATCCGATATGTATCGAGTTCATGGTAGGTGTTTTTAGTATGAAGTTACATTCTCACCCTACAATGATAGTGTTTCTTGGTTCATACTTCAGTATGGTTGGCTAGCACTCAAGCTGTTGTTCACATTAGGCCACGTGATAGGACATCACACATCTCCACATACCTCCACAAAAAGCTGAACTTTGGTTGAGCGATTCCAACTCTGTCGGACGGTGTTCTATGTGGCCATTTTTCACATGGAAAGAGAGGTTAGTTGATCTTCGATACGGTTCTCTCAAAAGGGGGGCATAATTGACTTTAGTGAACTAATCATTTCACGCGGTAAACTACATGGCTCAAGAGTCAAAGTGGGTAAATTGCAACTGACATTGGGCAAGTCTCCCAACGACCAATCGGATACGGAAATATTTCACGATCGGTCGAGTCCGTCGTACCATAGTTGTAAATGATCGAACAGAGTTCGTTGATCGAAAGTGAGCCAACTCCAGAGCGGTCACCGGCGAAGACACTGTAGTGAATTACCCAAGTTCATCTAGTTGCCCCCGACTTGTTCGATGGGGAAAAACCTAACGGAGTCTACGAGACAATTGTGGTTATTCTCAGTAACTAACAACACAGTGAAGCCATGATTTTAGAGGACGAATCCCTTTCGTTGGAAGTTGGAACTTGCTGTATGGTAGTCTGGTTACTGAAATCATCTGGTAATCTGGAGATGGCTTCATTATCAACCGTAATCCCATTAGAAAGACATGGTAGCATCGTTGCATAAGCTTGCCACTGAGCATGGCGCAACTAACACAGCTTCCTGAATGACGAAAGATAATGAAGCCATAAAGATTTGCACCTGTTGCTTCCAAATGATGCATCGTTGCCCAAATAGAAACTACCGATTGTTTACCAAGCTCTTCTGAAATGATGACTTCTCAATCGGTTCCAAACTTTTTCCAATTGATTGAAAACAACTACGGACCATGTGTTCGCAAATTGTCCAGTGACTACGTTCGATTGGCAAGGCTAGAGGCAAACTGGGAGAACCACCGCATATTCAATAAACGCTGCTTGAAACACAACATAATCCCTACATCGTTACTGGTTAAGCCACCGGACACGTCACTCGTTTCTGCCCGAATAGCATTCTCAGCGGCCAAGTCATTCCTGAAACAGAGGATCTACTTGACTACTCGGCGTCTATCTGATATCCGTCACCACTCATGTCGGCTGAACCAAGATCTTCAGACCGTGCTCTCTCCCGCAGACTTCCAGTTGCTCCAAACCAAAGCGACAGAAGTGAAAGCTATCCAAGGACAACATTGCAAAGAGAGACAAATACGTAAGTTCGAAATGTTGCTTTCTAAGACTCGGATTTCAAGGGAGCCCATGACTAAGCCTAAACCACCTACTAGCTATTGTAGCGTGGTAAATTTATCAAATAGACCGTTAAGTGAGGAAGAGCGCACTCTGCTAGAGAAAGGCTTGAATTTCGCAGTGAGCAAAAGGGTGATAAGGGCCGAAGAAATAATCCCTAGCGTTGAATCTGTGTTTCAAAAACTTCCGTCAATGGAGGCAGAGAGGCTACGGGTACAGCTAATCACAGTCCTTAAGTCCCAGCAGCCAGGAGCTCCAAATATTACATCAGCAGAGCGAAGAGCTTTAAACACCCTAAAACGGGTGGACAACATAGTGATTACAAAGGCGGATAAGGGTAAGGCCACAGTTGTTATGAACAAGAGTGATTATTTACAAAAGGTTAAGCAACACCTAGCTGAGGGTCCTTATCGGGAGATCAACAATGCGAATATTACGTCTATAATGAATAAGAGTAAAGCCGAAGTTGGAAGATATCTGCGGTCCGTGATAAACCACTTAGGGCAAGGCAACTGGTATCGATTGTACCCCAAAAGTGCAATCCAACCACGACTTTATGGCCTTCCAAAAATCCATAAACCAGAGGTCCCAGTGAGACCGATAGTAGACGGAATAGGTTCCCCACCGCATGAACTGGCCAGATTCTTGGCCGGTATTTTAAAACCCCTAACCGGGAAATCTAGTACTTACATTAAAAATTCATATGACTTCGCCAACAAAGTAGCGGGTGTCACTGTTGAACCGGATGACATCCTTGTAAGTTTCGATGTGAATTCGTTATATACAAATGTGCCAAAAGGGGACTCTTTAGAAATAGCCAAGCGACTGCTGTTAGCGGACACCACCCTTTCGGAACGGACACAGCTTACGGTAGATGAGATAGTGGAAGGCATAAAAGCATGTCTGAATCTCACCCACTTCGTATTTGACTCAGTGGTTTATACTCAAGAGCAAGGTCTAGCAATGGGATCTCCAATATCCCCGGTTTTGGCAAATATATTTATGGAAGAATTTGAACAGAGAGCTTTAGCCGGATTCCCACACCCACCAAAGATATTCTGGCGGTATGTAGATGACACTTTCGTCGTCATGAAACGGGACAAGGTTAATGAGTTTTACAATTATCTGAATGAACTGAGTCCACAGATCAAATTTAGTATGGAGATAGAGTCAACATCGGGTAAACTGGCCTTCTTAGACTGCATGACACATAAGGTTGGGGGGAGACTAAAGACCACAGTGTATGAAAAGCCAACCGACACTGGGGCAGTTTTGAACTACTCGTCTGCCCATCCGAAGTCGGTATTCGCCAGTATTGCGTCATCAATGTTTAGGCGTGTAAGGGCCCTGTGCACAGAAGAAGCCGATCGAACAGCGGCCCAAATTGAGGTAAAAAACAAACTTCGGGGTAGTGGATATCCAGCTAGCTTGATTAGGCGTCAATTGCGAAGGGTGTTGATACCGGTAGAGAAACCCAACAGGGAATGGATTGGGACAGCTGTTATTCCATATAAACCAGGGACATCGGAGGCAATTCGAAGAATTCTAAACATGGCCAACATTAGAGTAGCTTTCCAGAGGGGGAACACTCTGCGCTCTGCATTGGTGCAATTGAAGGATCGCCTCCCGGCAAACAGAACCAGGGACTGTGTCTACAAAATCAAGTGTAATGACTGCATCAAAGTCTATATAGGACAGACGGCCAGGGAACTATACATCAGAGTCGGAGAGCATAGTAGAAAAATAAACAGGCCGCCGAGAAACGCAGATGAATATCAAGCGTTACTGAAAGACTCGGCGATTGCGGAACACGCACTAGACACAGGACACAAAATAGATTTAGAAAATGTTGAGGTTTTGAGGCGAGGACTACGGTCCACGTCACACAGACTGATCGCCGAGGCGGTAGAAATCGCCAAGCATCCCAGCGTCAACAGAATGAAAGGCGTAGAACTGGCTAGCGTGTGGAGAACGGTCTTGGGTCACTCGAGCTGACACGTGTTGGTGTGCGGTCATCAGTAGGAAGAGTAGTCATCACTTGGATTCCACTTGACCTCAACCCCCCTCAAACTAAATTGTCGGAACACTCACAACCCCACAAAGACTAAGGAAAATCTAACAGCGGCACCCGAGGCGAATCATCAGGTGAAGCATTCTGAAGTGGAAGATTAAGGAACGGAAAGCGATCGGAACTAATTTGGAACCCTCCAACACATCGATTCAAGATTTTGGCACCCACACTAGCCGACAAGAGTCTTTAATTGACACTCAACACTGACTTAATCTGAAGAGAACTTACTGATTGGTTCCCCGTCTGTCTTATAACCTGGCCAATTTTGTGACCTGCTCACTTGGCCTGATGAAGCTTTTGTGTCAAAAGCGAAACGTTGCCCAAATAAAAACTACCGACTGTTTACCAAGCTCTTCTGAAATGATGCGTCGCTTATTTGTGCTGAAGATCATCCCAAAATAGAGTGGATTATTTTGCTGCCAAATGCCACTCAAAGATGAATGACGTCATACAAAAATAAACCGTTCTATGAAAAGCCGGACAGCGAGCCAATCCTACCTGGCTACACGGTGGTCTCATGTGACTGCCCCACGTTCTGACCGTTTTTCAAATAGGTTCCGTTTCAACTTTTCAGCATAAACAAGTGATTTGGTTGAGTCGCACTTCAGTGTCAACGTAATTTGTAAAGATGTATTTTTCGTCATGTCCATCAGCGATACCGCTCCATTAACCTGACAATCCAAACGTGAAAAAAACACCAAAATATCAACATATCAGAAAATGACACCCAAATTGAAATTTCGACTATTCACCTCATCAACAAACACAACTGTCCAACCTGCTGTTGGAATACGTCCTACAAAGGGGGTACGACTTATAAACAATGTCAGTATGTGTTTATCAAGATTACTTACAAGGTTGTTGAAAACTGTTCGATATCCGATGACCAGTTCCACCCTTGTCCGTGGGACTCATCAGATGCGTGCACTCACCAAGTTTCCATCAACCTCACGTTCTACTCAAAGTGAAATTGGACGGAATTGGCGAAACACACTCGTTTGCACACCAAATCGGTTTAAACGGTAGAGTCAACTGAATGTCGCGTTGATGATATTCTTCAGATGAATGGACTGTAGACAGGCCGCTTCACATTTCAGTTGATATGATGTTTAAAATGTCACAGAGCATTTCCTCGAAGGTAAACTACTCACTGGGTTGCTGCTTAAGAGTCTTTGGCAAGCTCATGAGTGGTGCACCTTCAAGAAAGTTTCGGTATCTGCTTGTCACGAGATTTGTGTAAAAATGTATCGAATAGAGTGTTCTCTGCTCGATAAAGAAAGCTAAACGTTTATATAGCCTGAAGGAAGATGGGGCATTCAATAACAAAAGAGAGCAGGTCGATTTCAAGAACATAGAAGAAATCGCACAGTGTTTACTTCAATTAATGGATTTTCTGAAAAATTTGCACTTGGAGTCATTGCAGCATCCCACGTACATTGGCCATCATACGATCACGGTGGGAGAAAATGCAGAGACAATATATTGGAATACAAACATGTGTTGCAGTTCTATTCAATATTCGACTAAGCTGTCACATGAGACAAGTTTGCTGAGGGCACTGGGTGCACTGACACGGCTGACATGGCAATGATCATGTGACCGATTTTGCACAGCCAATCAGTAACCGTTTTCCATCTTGCCTGTTCTATGCCCACGACTGAAGATGAAGAAAAAAATGTCAGAATATCGTGACAGATGCCTTCTCTTCGTCTTGTCGACCCCACTGAATAGGGGCTATTCTCA